CCATTTTAACAGCTTCATGTTGCTTAGCAACACCAAGAGGTACATCAGATAGATAAAGTCCCAATACTTCCAGTGGGTTTCACCTTACAGTGCACAAAAATGCAATTTAACTTACAGAGAGAAATCCTTCCTACAACAAGGTATGATGTATTTATGGTTCATTGAGTACCTAACAAAAGAGGAATTATAGATCAGTGCTAGTCTGAAGTAGTGAATTCATAGGGAGTTGAAGTGCATGTCGAGTATAGAAATAACCAAGGCACTGTATATCCCAAACACCAGACACAGAGTTTGGGGGGAAGTCAGCCATTCCAGCTTCACCCCTTAAATCAATACCCTATTGAGATAATACAAAGACTAAAACTAGAAGTATGGATTTGAATTCAGACTTTCCCAACATTCAAAGGTGTTCTAATCTAGAGAATTGATTTAGCTTATTATAGAGAAATGGGCCAGCTACCAAGTTCAGATCTGCAGCCAAACTTTATCAGAGTTTGAGGGTATTTGGATCAGTTTAGTTTGGCCACAATTCTAATCAAACTCAATCTGATTATATCTAGTAAACATGTCTGGCATCTCAGATTTTTCCCCAGGCCTCTCCCTTGAGATAGTTAAAATAAGCAGAATAAACTAAGTTAACTACGTTAATAATTCAGATTTCAAAAATGACATTGCACAACTTATCAGTCAGATATATATATACACACAGAGAACATGAAACAATGGGTGTTATAATATAATAACCATTGTTTCATGTTCTCTGTGTGTATATATATATCCAGTGATGAGCTGCCAAAATCTTAACAATGGGTTCCCTCCTCACCCCACGAGGGGGTCGTTGCCCACCTCCACCCCCCAGGACTCCTGCTCCATCCACCCCCTCCCCTGTCCCCTGACTTCCCCCAGAACTGGGCAGGAGGGTCTCATGGGCCACTGTAGTGGGTGCCCACCCCACCCCTAAGAGCCAGAGGCACCTGCCAGGGGGCGAGGTGGGGAGTCCCGGTGGTGCTTACCTAAGGCAGCTTCCAGCAAGCATCCGGCAGGTCCCTCTGGCTCCTAGGGGTGGGGGAGCGTAGCTAGGGGGGGAGTAGAGGCGCCTGCTCCCCCACTGATCACATCAAAAGTAGCGCCTTAGGCACCAACTCCCTGGGTGCTCTGGGGCTGGAGCACCCATGGGGAAAACTGGTGGGTGCAGAGCCCCCACCAGCAGCTCCCCGCCCCAGCTAACCTCACCTCTGCTCTGCCTCCTCCCCTGAATGCACAGCCCTGCTCTGCTTCTCAGCCTCTGCCCCCCCTGCTTCCCGCGAATCAGCTGTTTGGCAGGAAGCCGGGGAGGACTGAGAAGCAGGCCACGGCTTCCCGCTCAGGCCGAGGGTGGCGGAGGTGAGCTGGGGCAGGGAGAGGTTCCCCTGCATGCCCGCGCCCCTCCCCCCCGGTTACCTGCTGCGGCACGGGCAGCGCTCTTCCCCCCCCCCCCACCGCTCGAGCTCACCTCCGTTCTGCCTCCCTGGGCCTGAGCGGGAAGCCGCGGCTTGCTTCTCTGCCTGCCCCGGCTTCCCGCGTGAACAGCTGATTCGCGGGAAGCCTGGGGGGGGGGCGGAGAAGCAGAGTGGGGCGGCATGTTCAGGGGAGGAGGTGGAGAGGAGGTGGGCTGGGGCTGGGGCGGGGAGCTGCTAGTAGGTGCTATCACCCCTAAGGTGAGCTATTACCAGCGGGGGGGGGGGGGAACCTTTTGTAGGAAAAAACCTCCTGCTGGTAATAGCTGACCTTACCTGATCACTCTCGTTACAGTGTGTATGGTAACACCCATTGTTTCATGTTCTCTATGTATATAAATCTCCCCACTGTATTTTCCACTGAATGCATCCGATGAAGTGAGCTGTAGCTCATGGAAGTTTATGCTCAAATAAATTTGTTAGTCTCTAAGGTGCCACAAGTACTCCTTTTCTTTTTAATGAATGTAAGAGTTACTGAACTGGATTCTGAATAAATAACACCTGTATATTTATCTGAGTACAACAATTTTGTCCCAAAACCTATGTACTTATGGGTGTATTAAAAAAGACTACACTGACTACTGCTGACCTATTAATATATAATAATAACGCTCCAAATAACCCTATACATTTTTATTTAATAATAGTGCCCCAATTACCCATGTATATTCTTATTATGTTGAAATACTCTGCACTAAGTAACAGAGAATCTTACCTGTCTATAATAATGTCATTTCTAAAAACTGTGTACCTACCTGCTACTATTCTTATAAAGCATAAATAAACAATTTTAAAAATATATATAAAACCAACCCTTTATGCTAGACCTGAACCAACAATTTACTAGTCTAGCACTGAGCATATACCCTAAATAAGTATACTAACCCCTAATGCTAAATCTTTTTAGGGAAAGAATTTGTTGGTTCTTGGAACCAAAAATAATAGATAATAAACTTGCATCAAATATAAAGAAACAAAGATTTACCTCCATTCCAATGCTCCAACATTAATCCTTGCTTTCCAGCAAACAAATACTAGAATAAACTAAGTATAATTTATAAGAGAACCAGATTTACAAAATATTTGACAGAGAAAAAATAACTGACCTTTTTTTTGTCTTTTCATCATCCTTTCCTGCCCCGCACCTCCCCTCCCACCCCGCTTTAACTTCTTATTACACAAAACAAGGCCTCATATAGGAATCACTGAGAATAATAATAATTATATTTGGGCTACTAATCCTCATCTTGTGCTGTCCCTGATAACAACTGGTTTTAAAAACAAATCCAGACAGGCGGTAATATGGCTTAGGCTCATCCCTTGAAAAGAAATGAAAAAATTACACTGCTAGTGAAAGAGGAAAAAACATAGACACCGGCTCTGTATATAGTTAAAATCCAAAACTAGCTGATGATCCAGATTATTAAAGACATTTATCAGTTTATTTGGGTCTGATGCTTCCATATTTACTTAGACAAAATTCCCATCGACATTGATGAAAGCAATGCCTAAATGAGAACTAAAGGACTGCATCCTTAGTTACTGAGAATCATAGTAGTGTCTTGAACCAAGTTAGAAGAGAGCACTATCGTTGCTACCATTGGGATAGATGCATGAACTTCTATTGCTGTGTTATGTAGGAGGCTATCTCATCATAATGATCACTGCTGCCTTAAAATCCAAGAATCAACTACTTTACTATTGACTTGGGACCAAAGATGACGGAGAATCTTGGGTATTGCCCAGACCATACCAAGCTTTGAAGTTTTATTCTTTGAGGGACAAATCTTGCCTCCATCTCTATGGGCATGGAAGGACTTTGGTGCAATGGACAGGAACTGGAGGTCTGTAAAATGGGTATATATGTTCTGTGTCCCATGCAACTTGGCTCTCCAGAAAGTCCCTGCATCCCAGGGGAGTTTTAGGGTCCAGAGACAATGCTGATGGATCTCCCACAATGCAGTTCCACTGGCTATTCCCCCTCTGTGAATGGAGCATGCTTAGCCACAGAGGTTACTGCAACCCAAGGAGAAGCCCACACTGTCTGCAAAGAGCTCCTTGTCTCCTTGGTCTGAGACAGATCTTTCTAGAGCACAACAAATTCATTTGTGCTCAGGATTTGTCCTTTTCTGATTTCACATGATCCATCCATTCTAACATCTCACACTATAACAAGTTATATTAACAAGTGCCCTGCTTATGTTGAGGTGTATGGTAGAATGAAAGCAAATTCTTCTCCTTCTCCATCTTCTCACTTGTTTATTGATGCAGCAAAACATATGATAATTAGAGCTGCATGTACATAAAATTTGCATTCAAGTAGATTGTGGTATGAGCTAGGGAACTCACCCTTAACTTTATAGTCTGTATATCTATTTTGTATTAACTTTTTAGTCATTCTTGATATGTGTCTGTAGGCATCACAGTTAAAAGAAGAATTGTTAAAAATGGCAATTTCATAAGGCCCAATTCTCCTTTTGCTTAAATTGGTGAAATTCAGATGAAATCTATGGAGCTTTGCTGGTGAAACTGGTGTGAAAAGAGAATCAGGCCCATAAAGATCTTAAATTTAAACATGCTCAAACGCTTTGCTGGATCAGGAAAAGAATACTCAGTATTTTGCAGAATCAACCCATTAGTTCAACCCAAGGTTATTAGCCCTCTCTGCCTACATGTGCACTGTTGTTATTAACAATAATGCCTTGCTGGCACTGTAAATCTTCACTAGATATTTTATTATATATGTACAGGCTTTATAGCACTTAGACGTATTTGGGAGGATATTGACATGACTTCATTTGTAACTAGATGCTATATTCTCCCGGGGCCCCTGTGTTTATATTTTAGGAGGTTTATGAGTCACACAGGGTATCAAAGGTACAGAAGGCAAATATTTGCTTTTGTGTGCATTTCTCATTTCTGAAAAAAATAATCTATACAAAACAGAAATGGAAATGTATTTCTCACATCAAGAACAGAAAGGTAGGATTCAGTGAACTACCTACACAGGAAAAAATGCTACAGATCACTAGGTAACATGAACATTTTCCATAGTGAATGGAGCCTATATTTGTTAAAATAAGGTTCCATTGACCTCAGTGGACCTATTGTCTGAGTAAGAGCTGCAGGATAAACCCCTAAAATATAAGATTTTTAAATATATCCTTTATTTATTTTATCTGTTTCATGCGGTATACTCAGCAGCTTGTTTACCTCTGCATTCTCTTCCATCAAATTTCATATGGTATAAAATATTGCATATATTTCTTTTATTAATGTTGTCCTTTACTTGTTTAAAAATAGTAAAAAAAAAAAAAAGAATCCTAACACTATTTAACCCCTTCAAACTTTTCATGCCAATATGAGTTGCCTTATCCTCTCATCTACATAAACCCTAGAATAATTAAACAAAAATGCTCATGCCATGTTAAATTAGCCATCAGAGTGAGCTCATATGTGCCTAGAAATCAAAGATGCTGACACTGGCAAAAAAAGTTAGAAATCTTATCACAGGTCTTGTTCACTTTATTCCCACAACTGGTCTCATTGACTTCAGCTGGATGATTCATTTGGGTAAGGCAAACAGGATATGGTCCCTTATAGAGCTAAAGAGTTCAAAGAATCATTCCTTAATTTACACTGAGGTTTTCAGGCATGTGAAATTTCAGAGAAATCAGTTGTGGCTGTACAGGGGACACAAGAAAGGAGGTTTCTTATAAAATGTCTCTCCCTTTACACAGGGTGCCAATCAAAATCTGACTCTAGGTTTATAATTTCTTCCTCACCTAACCCCTAAATTTGGGGCCTAAACAACCTGACCATAACCCTTTAAGACTAATATATCAAAATATACTGAAGATAATAACAAAGAAGTATTATATTACAATTCCTTCTGCAAGTGTATTTGAGCTTGCTTTGAGGCACACACTTTGTTGGAGTCACAGAGAATTGTTTTCCAGCTGTTTTCAATACAGTACAAATAGTGGGCCAGATCCTCAGATGGTATGTACTTGACTAGCTCTGTTGAAGTCAACAGACCCTAAGGAAAGTGTAAATGGGCATAGCTCCAAAGAAGTTAATGGAGCTATGCTGGTGAGGATCTAGACCATTTATTCTTATCCTGAAATAAGTGGAAGTTTTGAAGATTAATTCCAATGGGAACAGGATCCCATTATTTGTATTCTGAAAGATGGGCAAACACTGTGTAGAAAAAGTTTTGGGGTGACCATCCATCCACTTCCTCTAATAACAGGTGTAACATACCCTAATTTCTACTGATGGTCTTCACGATCATTTAGGAGAGCTGGGAATTTTGCAGAACCCTTCTTTCCCATTCTGGGAGAAACAGAGCAACAAAAGGCTAAGCATGACTTCCAGAAAGAAAATCTCTGTATTAAAAGCCAAGTAACGCAGAACTACAATATTAAATACACATTATCTGAAATGGGAAATACACTGTAAAAGTTTCATTAAAGTTCAGTTTCAGCAATAACAATATATCAGTTTTAAATCCTGCCAGAAAAGATTCTTCTGATATAAATAAAACTGCTAAGACAAATTGGTTCATATACAAATAGCTACTCTGACTAAAAACAACTGCAGTTGAACAGGGTTTTTCGTTTGTTTGGGGGTGTTTTTTTGTTTTTGTTTTTTACTAAAACGTCCATTTAAAACGGCTATTAAATATAGAAAACAAATACACAGGATTTGGTCGTTTTCTGCTATGGATCTTGGGCACACGAAACGAAAACAAAATCCCTTTGACTACTGAGGAGGGAGCAATGCTCCGCAAACCGCCACACTCGCCTGCACTGGACACCAAGAAACCTGGGCAAGGCTTTAAAGTGCTCCACACACACCCCCACACACCAACCCAGGGGGAAGCGTTTACAAAGAGCGCGCGGGGAGGGGATGCGAGTCCACCAGCGTCCGCCCCAGTCTCGGGAGCAGATCGCACAGCAAACGGAGGAGGGCGGCCCCAGCGGAGCGGGGAGGGGGGGTTATTTGCCAGCGGCGGTGGCGCTCGCAGCCACCGCGGTGCTTCTCCGCTGCTCCATGCCGTTGGGCAGGAAGCCGGCGATGATGGGCACCGGCCAGATGAGGGCGGCCACGCTCCACACGATGATGACGAGAGTCATGAAACAAGCCACCAGGGTGGACTCGATGGGCTTGCGGTTCAGCCGCCAGCCCGGCTCCCCCTTCAGCTCCTCCAGGCTGAAATCCAGGCAGCAGAAATTCAGCGGCTCCCCCTGCAGCCAGTACTGGCCGGGCTCGGACAGCGAGGAGGAGGCGGCGGCGGCCGCTGCCCGGAGCCGCCCGACCCTGCGCCCCCGCACCCAGCTGCAGCCCACGCAGAGGCGCAGGTCCTGCTGGGCTCCCCCCGCCGCCAGCCCCAGGTGCTCGATGAGCAGCGGCGGCCCCACGCGGTGGAAGGCGGCGGAGAAGAAGGCCCGCCCGTGGCCGTTGGTGGAGAAGAGCAGCAGGTCGCACGGGATGCCGAGCGGGCGGCTCCAGCGCACCAGCAGCGAGCTCAGCATCTGCCTCTGCACGCTGATGTTGCAGGGCGCCTCCTCGGGGGGCTGGGGCGGCTGCGGGCCGGCGGCGGCAGGAGGCGGCTCCCGGCTGGGGCTGCCCGCCTCAGCCTGCCCGCCCATCCCGCGCAGGTCGCGCTCCAGGCTGGCCAGGGAGCGCGAGGAGGAGTTGATGGGGGGCAGCAAGAGCTCGGGCTCCTCCTGCCCCCCGCCGGCCGCGGCGGGGCTCCAGCCCTGGCAGGGGGGCAGGCAGGCGGCCAGCAGCGCCGGCAGGAGCGGCGGCAGCAGCATGGCATGGACTCAGAGCCGGCGAGGAGGAGGGGGTGGAGGCTGCATGGCGCTGCCGCCCGCCACCCGGCTGGGGAGGGCGTGGGAGCCGGGCTGGGGCCGCCGCGGCTGCTCGGCGAAGGGCTGAGGGAAAAGGCGCGCGTGACGGCAGCAGCTCGGCAGCCCGCCTCCGCCCCCTGCTCAGCCCCGCCGGGAGGAGCGGCCGGGCGGGAGCCCTGCTCGGCTCAGGCGCTCTGCGGGACTCCCCGGCAGCCCCCCGGCATAGGCACCCCTCGCACCGCCGACGTAGGGACCCCCCCCCACCCAGTAGCGGTCTCCCTCCCAACCGTGTCCCCTCTCCCGCACTGCCAGGGGCTCCCCCCGCGCCCAGCTTCCTCCCTGCTGCTTGGGGCAGGGCGCCCCCCCCCCCCCACACACACCAGGACACCTGCCCCCACAGGGCGACTCCCTGCAGCCCGCACAGCGCCTGGAGCGCGGCCCCGTCTTGGCGCCGGCCGGGCGTGATTTCCAGAGTGCACTCAGGAGGCTGGGATCTCGGAGCGGGTTACCCGCCCCGCCGTAATCCGGTGCCCGGGGCTTACCGCTTCTTACACGGCACAGGTATATTTCTTGTGTCCCTGATTCGGAGCCTTGTAAGTGCATATCTGGGCCGATCTGCTTTCTTAGAAGGGGCACCCGAATGTCCTGCTGTCTCCCCCTGCTTTGAAGACCTTCTCAATACCCCCAGCAGCTGCAGCGGCATCTGCACTTCCAGTGAAAACTGGGAGCCATTGCTCTCCCTCTTCCTTTGGCCTGGGGCAAGCAGGATGGCACAGACCAGTGTGCCTGAGGCAGAACAGGGTGTGAATTCGCCGCTCCCTCCAGCGGCCCCGGACATTGCCTTTTTCTCCAAATATCCCCAATAATGTTACTACAATGAGAAATACCTATATGGGCACCAAGAGAAAAGTAAATGCGTAGATGAAGGGACCAGACTGCCACTCCACAGCTTGCTATCCTGTCCTATTTAGCTTCTTCTACTGTATGCCCCCCTCACAGGGTTTTTTTTGGGGGGGGGGGGGTTGAGGAGTTGTGTTTCGAGAGCATTCATCTGAGAACTGACTTTTACAGATGCTCCTTTCTTATGGTTTTATAGAAGGGAAAGTAAAACAAAACAAAACAAAACAAACAAACAAAAACCACCGTAGGAAATGCTGTGAAACTGTCAAGCCTGATCCCCTGGCTATTTTTTTTATCCAATTCTTTAAGTTACTTTGTTGTGAAAGAGGGAACTCATACTTTGTTCACAAGAGGGAGTTCCAGTAGCCTGGAAAGAAAGAATCACCCAGTCCTAGCCCTTGCCTGGCAGTTGGAGGTTCACAGCTCTGATTTAGAGAGAGAGAATATACTTTCATAAATGATTCATCCACTGTCATATGCTGGAGGACAATTAATCCCTATATAAAAGATTTGAGTAAGAAAACAATTACAAGAAACATAAAACTGACAATTATATTAAGTTAGTGTGAGATTTATATTTTTTAAAGGCAGCTTTATAATAATTTCGGTGTCATTTTGTACTTCAGGCTGTTTTATAATTTGACAGTTACCATAGTTTTAGTTTTGACACTCTGCTTAACGTTGCCAGGCTAACAGAGCCTTAGAAATGGATAGTGATATAATAGGAAGAATAGATACAGGGAGTGGACAAGGAAAATAACAATAGGGACTCCGGTGTGGCATTCTTTAGCCACCACTCTGCCCTGGGGATGGGGCAGAACTATACCACCCTAGGGAGAGGCATGACTGCCCACTCTTTCCTTCCCCACCCTCTTTCCAGCAAGTTCTCCTGGAGAGGGAGATTTATTTATTTATTTGTATTACCATAGTGCCTGTGAACCTTAGTCATTGACCAGGACCCTATTGTGCTAGGTGCTGTACAAACATAGAACAAAATGATGGATCTCTGCCCCAAAGATCTTACAGTCTAATAGGAGAGGTTGATACTACCCCCATTTTACAGAAAAAAGGGCATAACAATGACTTCACCCTCTCACTCACATCAAGTAGCTTACTCTGGAAGTAGTCTCAGCTGAGTAAGGTACAATGCAACACGAGTAAGGCTAGTGAACCAGGCCCTATATGGTTTTCCTCTGAAGTCATCACCTAAGCTTATCGAGACAAAACCAATATCTTCTTGGTTTTAATTTGAGATGGACCTCAGTGCAAGTGAGCTGTAGCTCACGAAAGCTTATGGTCAGATAAATTTGTTAGTCTCTAAGGTGCCACAAGTACTCCTTTTCTTTTTGCGAATACAGACTAACAGCTGTAACGGCTGCTACTCTGAAAGTGGATTTGTGTCCTGACCTGAATTTGTCCAAAGTATATGGTGTGTTTAGGTCTAGGATTTTGGTTTGGCTCATTGTAGAGGTCTGTGCCAGGCATGAAGTTCAGATCCAGGTCTGGCTCTGAAATGCCACAAAATTCACATCTGGTTTAGATTCTCTAGTTTTAATAAGTTTTTCAATCCATATATTTCAATTTCTCCTATTTTCAATATATTTTGATATATTTTAGATACACTTATACAGGTTTCTGTGTAAACATTTGCATAGCACATCTTGCTCTTCTTGGTCACATCTACAGCCTCATAGACCTGTATTAATAGGAGTTTCACTGCTGTACTTTATCAGTGAGCACCAACAAATAGGTGAGGAGAAAGCTGTGATGTAGTCAATAATAGACAAAATAACTTAATGCCAAAATGGTTTGACCAGTGATGAGAACAAATTATATTACATCAGCATTTTGGCATAAAGGATTGGGGATAAGCCTGAATTTTTAAGTTAGGTTATCTTCTGAAGAGGATGGCAGATGTTCTCAGGCAGTACTCCAGTTCCTCTCTGAGCTACTAGAAACCAGTTTACTAGGTTTAGAGAGATTTGTGTAGGGAAAAGGGGGAAACTGAGTGAATTTTTTCAAAGGGAAGATAACTTGCCAAAGGAATTTTAAATTGTATCTACCTATCACAGTAAAGAAATAAGAGATGACAATTTGTCTGAGGCTGGGAATGCAGGCAGGTATTATACTTGTTGCTGTTTATAGAGAGACAACACATGAGGACAAAGATGGGAAAAGGTATGGCAGATCACTTATTAACCAATAATGTCCTATGTTGATAGGGACTATAAGAACCTAGATAGATAGATACAATTAATCTCTGTATCCAGTCAAGCATACAAAGAGTATCACAGCACACTTAAAAACAATACCTAGCTTTTATATAGTGTTTTTCATCCATTGATCTCAAAGCACTCTACAGAAGAGATTTCATGACCCTCATTTTATACAGGAGACAGTTGAGACACAGAGAAATGAAGGGACATGCTCAGCTTCCACACAGATTAGACTATATAGATACAAATAAAATTAATATATGTACTATAGATTATTGTATCTCAGACAGGTAGCATCTGTGGATGTGCTAGGGCAGGTCTGAAGAGGAATGTAATGGACAAGTTGTAGGAAAAGTAATGAAGCAGTGGGAAACTAGGAGTCTCATGGGGTAAAAAGTGTTTATTAGGATGAGGGTGAAGGACAACAATTAAAATCTTGGAGTGAGATTTGAATAAACTTTTTGTTACTGTAAATGTAGTACTCATGGAAGGTGCTGGATTGTCAGTTGTGAGGACACAAGTTCTCTCTCTATCCATGTATCAGGTACAACATTGGCAACAGCAGTGCAAGTTTTCCTATGCTATCCTGCAACATTTCTCAGCTCTGATCTGGATGTCCCATGCTAGGAGGAAGGTTGCTTAGTCTCTGGGGCTTTGCAGTAGTTGGCCTCTGCTGAGATTGATAGTGCCAGTGATATTTTGACATGTGGACACATGTTCACTAGGAACTGGTTGGAGACCACTGAACTCATTCCACCAAATGGTAACAACTTTCTCTTATTACGGTTTTGAACTACATTTGAAATAGTAGCCTACAGGTGGAAAGGTTCTTTCACCCATTACCAACAGCATGAACCATCTAGGTCTCACTTAACAAAGGATTTGAAAAGAACAACTGAATGGATCTGCTTCGCAGGAGCATGGAGTTTGAGGAGGTAAAAAGGTGAACAAATCCATGTAGCAGCCATAGAAGGAGGTGTATTCTATATTGGACTCTGAAATGGACTGGTAGTCAATGAAAGATATCTGATTTGGGATTTATGAAAACCTCAAAAGAAGGAAGTTCATATAAGATGGATCCAGGAATATGTGCTTCAGCAGAGAACCAGTGAAGATTGTTTTTCATGTGTTGGCTGTTTTGGTCTCCTGTTATAGCTAATGGAGAGACTCCTACTGACCACAGGCAGATTCACATGGGGGATGCTAGAAGCCAATAAATAGTTTGGTTCAAGTTTAAATCCTAGGAGTCAATATGAGAGGATTTTCAGATAGTGTTGTTCAACATAGCTCCATTGCCTTTAATAAAGCTGTGCCAATTTACACCAGCCAAGGATATGACTTGAGATTTGCACTGAGGAGGAAGGTGGAGGGGCGGACATTTCTTGGTTAAGGGTTGCTTTTCTGTAGTAGGATGTCATTTCTGAATATATTGAGTAGAAAGTAGTTGGCAGTGGGAAATAAGATAGGAAAGTAGGCCCGGGGCCATACCATCATGGAGAGGGTTAGCTGTGGAAAGTTGTCTTGTCAATCACAGAAAAAGGAAGTAGGAGCAAATCAGGACACCAAATTGTGCCTGATCTCCACTGAACTGTCAGATAAACGAGAAAGATGTTACAGTCAACAGTATCACTTGTAAGCAGATCACTTTGTGGCTAAGAAGGATGAGAAGGAGGCAGGCTTGAATGAAAGAAGTGAGTAGTTGACTCCACTGAGAAGAGCAGATTCAGTACTGTGAAAGGAGTGAGAGCCAGGCAGGAAATAAGCTTTGGTATTGTTTTGAGAGAACTGGTTATTTCTAGTTGAGAAAATATAGTTTTCCAAGATGTTGCTAAGAAAGGTTTGATTGGCTAGTGGGTAAGAGAGCATCATAGAGAGGTATTTTAGAGATGGATTTAATAAAATGAAATTAATGGACAATGGTTGATTATCAATATTTTGTTGATTGACCAGGGAACTGCATTATCTTTTTATATTGCCCATTGAGATGCCAAACAATAACATTTCTTCAATACTAATTATACCAAAGCCTTTACTTATTT